GGGGTGGGTAGGATGGGAATGGGGAATATGGTGGGAAAGATTGAAAAAGAGTTTTGGAGGAACATTTTCCTCCAATTGGGAGAAAATGAATTGAGGAGGAAAATATATTCCAAAATATTTAAGCCAACCAAACATGAAAAAATTGAAAAATATTTTTCTTCGTACCAAACACACCCTTAGTCTTACCTTATTTAGAACCCCTCCCAAAGAGAGGGCATTGGGAGACTTTTGAATAGTAGAATATGGTCTTACATAATTATATGAAAAGTAAAGAATGTGATAGAAAGGCCATTAGATAAGTCATTCATCTAATTTAATTTAGATGACACATTTTATTTATCGATAGTTAATTTGACTAAATTTCGAAACTAAATTGGATTAGCTCAGCTCGGTATTTTAAAATTAAAATTTAGATATTCAAAAACTATATATACGAAAAATATTACTGTATAAGTTATAATTTTTCCAATGTCAATATGATAAAAAAATATATTTTAAAATATTAATCAAACTTCATACACTCTAATTCTCGCTCAGCGAAATATATCATTTAAATTGAAACTAATGAAGTATTAAGTAGTAGAAAAGTTCAAGAGAACATATAAGGTTGGAGATCTAAATAAAACATAAAAACAAACAGTTTTTGCAATAAACACGTTACACATGGTTGTTAGGATAGAAATGTCGTTTTACCTCAAGACCAGTTGCCTATATCTGTCAGCTCGCATACTTCAACCAAAAACACTACAGCCTAAAAAACATGAGATCAAAGGACTCTTCATAATGCTTTTAAGTACTGCATGTTTGAAAAAGAGCCAAACACAAAAGAACATAAACCATGAAAACCCCACGTCCTTTTCCCCTCTTTTTCGTCCTTTTCGCCGCCGTTCTCCTCCACCTCCTCCTTGTCCCCTCTTTTGCTCTCCTTGACCCTACCGCATTTTCATCAGTTGCCGTCGTTCCTGATGCTCCCCGACCTCTAAATCCTGGATTTGTCTCAGCTGACACAAACTATATTCGTTCGAGTTGTAAAACCACCATGTATCCTGCCACCTGCTACCATTCACTTAATCACTATGCCACCGCAGTACAACAAGACTCCGCTCGACTAGCTCGTGTAGCCGTCGGAGTAAGCCTAGCCAAAGCCAAGCGCACGGCAGCTTTCTTTTCCAACCTTTCCCGCGAAGCTGTCTATGGAGCGCAACCACGAGTTGTAGCTGCACTCCATGATTGCTTCTCGATTTTCGGCGACGCCGTTGACCAAATACGTGATTCATTGAGTCAAATGCGTAGGCTCGGTGGCTCCAGCGAGTCGTTGAGGTTTCAGATGAGTAACGTTCAGACATGGATGAGTGCAGCCTTAACTAATGAGGACACTTGCACCGATGGATTTGAGGATGTTACTGATGACGAGCCATTGAAATTGAATGTCTGTGATCGTGTAGGGAAGGTGAAGGAGGTGACTAGCAACGCTTTGGCTTTGGTAAACAGTTTTGCCAATAAGATATCAACTCCATGAACGATGATCTGTTGAGTTGAAACTTTATTATTGACCACGTTAGATGTTGAGAAGTTTAGGTTGCATTCTTGGCAAAAGTGTGAAAAGTTATTAGTGGTATCATATTAGTACTAGTAAAGTAGGAGAAAAAGAACAAAGAGTTTATGGAGTGATTGTGTGTGGATCCTTTTGGTTTTGTGGGCCTCCACTCTAACAAAGTGTTCTTCTTTTTACGAGTTCTAATTTTTAATCTCTTCTACCTTTCTATGATCATGTATAAACTCAAATTTAGTGTCTGAATCTTTTTTTCTGTTTTGAATTTTAGAATTGGATCAATAATAATAGGTTGTGACTCAACCTAAGTTTGTTTGAATGCCAAAATGTGTTGGGTCAACAAGGATAAACAACGAGTCATGATCCAAACCATCCAAATGACTCAACCTGCATTCCTTTTTTTATTGTATTTCGTGGAAAAAATGTAGAAATTGGATTCAACTCAATAGGCTCTGGTTTCGACCCCCTTAATACCCCTACCTAATAAAAGTTCCTAACAGCATTTGCCAATGTTCCATTAGTTTCTATGCAGGATGATAGCACCTCGATGGTTGGATGTGGATGGCCATCAATTTGGACAATAGAAAGCAATTGGGAGAGAAAAAAAAAATAGAAAATACATGCACCGATTTCTCTTTTCTATTGGAGTCCATGTAGTTGTATTAGAGTTCGATACCTCAAGTTTATGTTAGTGGGAGGTTGTTTATGGTTTACACTTTACATGGAGGGAATGTATTAGAGTTGGATACTTTCGAGTTTATTTTTAATTTGGAAATTTTATTAGGACAAAATGTGAAGCACATTGAAAATAATTATGTGTATGATTGATTTTATGTATACACTTAATCAGGCTTAATATGTGGATAATTGTAAATATTAATTGTAAAGTCCCATATTTTTACATAGTTAAAATAGCTTATTTCGGGGTTAATAAAGTAACTAAAGTAATCTCGTAGTACATGGACCAACATAAGGACGGAAAAATAATTAGAATAGAGTACCAAGAATAAGATAAGTTTCAATGCATTAGGTATGAATCACATCCCATCCAGATTTGGAGCGTGACATTAATACTGAATTTTTTTTATACAAATTAGATTGAGATAAGTTGTTTCTTGCATTAATTCTTACCAAATATAGTGATGGAATTATGGCCAAAATATTTGAAAAAGTAATTCAAAATTATACAACAAAGATACAGCAAAAAATATTATTGTAAAAGCTTTTCACAAGATAAATAGTTTATTTATTGCAATGGATTAGCGACAGTTTTTCAATCGCGATGTTAATATAACTAGTTGTGGACAATAAATTAGTGTCAAGAATCAAGACTACAAAATATTATAACAAAAATTATATTTTATTTCAAATATTGTAAATGTTATAGTCTATTCCTCTGATAAGCCTTTCAAGAATATATAATAATTTTAAGGGCCTTTGAATTTTATCTTGAATCTATATGTTGTCACGAGCGATAATTTTGAACTCAATGAATAGATAATTTGGACTCCTTGAATCTTGATTTATAGATCTCTGAAGTGCTGTATTCGGTGTTCATTCTTGCATTTTAATTAAGTACTTTTTTTTCTTTCTCTTTTGTTTATTCGCTCAAATTTT